CTTGACGTTGGATTTTGGTCACTTTCCAACACAACCTAAAATCAACCAAATTTCAACGTCTAATGATATTACAGCTTGACGTTGTGTGGACGTTACCACTATGACTTCTATCAAATGTTGGATTTCGGTTGAATAAATGTCAGTATTCGACGTCAATATAACGTTGGATTTTGGTCTCTTTTTAACACATTGAATTTTGGTCACCCGACATCACGACCTAAATCTAACCTAATATTAAAGTCTTCTGATGTTGTGTGCCTGCTAGAAATAACTGTATTTATCGTACAGCCTGAAATCAAATCACATTACAGATAACTTTCCCAGCCGTTGAAATGTTTTTGTAGCCTTCTCCAAACCTGTGCCTTTATCCTCAAGGTCTTTTGAAAGCAGGGTGAAATGTGATTAAATGTATAGATCAGGGGTGGCCAACCCTGTTCCTGGAGAGCCACTTTCCTGCAGATTTCAGTTGCAACCCATATCAAACACACCTGCCTGTAATTATCACATGGTGTTCAGGTCCTGATTAATTGGTTCAGGTGTGTTTGATATGGTATGCAACTGAAATCTGGAGAAAGGTGGCTCTCCGGGAACAGGGTTGGCCACCCCTGGTATAGACGTTCACAGGGTATGCTGTTTTTTTTCTATAGGCACAATAAAAACAACAGCGCAAGAATATTTATGGGGCACACATAATAAGCGGGAATGTGGCACCTAGTTTTATAATGGCTTTTAAAAAATGTATGACTCATGATGCATTTGTCTTTTAAGTCTTCTGTTAACACTAAAATTAACAATTTATGGACCCTTTAATTGATTCAAACCTTTACGAGTTTCTTTCTACTGATGAACACAAAGGAAATATTTTAAAGAAAGCTGAAAACCGGTAAACAATAGCCTTTTTAACACAGTGATACCAGTAAATATCCGGAAAATTTCCAGAACGACTTTACTGGTAAATTAAAAAATTCGCTCTTCACACAGGCGAGGACACTCCTGAATTTTTCCGGAAAAGACCATTCACACATCCATTCCAAAACACTGGTAAATTCTGACATCATCAACCAGAAATCAGCTCTAAATAGCTTCGCTTTTTTTAAACATAGTAGGTGTCGGGCTTTTATTGATGATTTCACTTTCTAAAGCTTTAGCATTGGGCGAGGCAGTGGCGCAGTAGGTAGTGCTGTAGCCTCACAGCAAGAAGGTCCCTGGGTCGAGCCTCGGCTCAGTTGGTGTTTCTGTGTGGAGTTTGCATGTTCTCCCTGTGTTCGCGTGGGTTTCCCCCACAGTCCAAAAACATGCAGTACAGGTGAATTGGGTAGGCTAAATTGTCCGTAGTGAATGTGTGTGTGGGGGTGTTTCCCAGAGAAGGGCATCCACTGCGTAAAAACCTGCTGGATAAGTTGGCGGTTCATTCCGCTGTGGCGACCCCAGATTAATAAGGGGACTAAGCCGACAAGAAAGTAAATGAATGAACCTTTAGCATTCATGTAGCTGTTTTGTCCTGGAGACATCCAAAGGCGGAACCGCGAACCAAAGCTAAATGTTTACACACTTGACTACATTACAAATTCTGTATATGGATAAGTATTGTGAGCAACTTGGATGAAAGGAGGAACACTTTCGCATGTCGAAATGTACAAAATATGTATGTGTGTGTGTACTGGTGCTCAGTGGAGCACTACTTCACTTCATGTGCACCCGCGTCAAGCAACTAAACTAGCAGAGCTTGAAGGTAAACAAACAGCGGTTTACTATAAGCATCTTATCGATAATTATTTACACAGTTTGCATTCAGAGGGAACATATAAACATTATCCGGCTAACATCTAGCAGCTAAATGTGTCTGGAAAGATATTCAAAGGCTTTTATTTTCCTAAACAGCACGGATGTGAATGTGTCTGATTGGCTGGAGTAGACGTCTCACGTCAGCATGTTCTAATCGCCCACGCGCTCTTTCCGGCAATTTTCCTTCTGCCTTCACACAGCGCAGCCTTCTGGCAAATTACCGATAATGTTACAACTTCTCTTGATGGAAAATTGACGGAACCAATTTACCGGTATTTTCATAAAGGGCCTGTTTACACATACAGACCTTTGTAGGTGTGAGAGGGACTAATATTGACCTCCATTGATTTTTCGACTATGGGAGTCAATAGTTACAGGTTTTCAGTTCTTCTTAACAACACACAATATAAAGAGACTATATAAAGGTTTGGAACCAGTGAAGGGTGAGTAAAAGATGACGAACGTTCATTTTTGGGTGAACTATTTCTTTCATTTAATGTTGCATAATGTGAGTTTCTTCTGATTTGTTTTTTGTTTCATTTTAGACAATTAATTTGTTTTAAATGATCAGTTTTTGGGTTTGCAATGTTCATTTTCCATTTATAAATAAAAAATATTGTCAACAGGAACTAAGTAGGGTTCATTTAGGTACATTTTCCAGGTACAATTTGCAAATAAATTTGATCAGATTCAGCTGAATAAGTCATTCAAGTCAGAATAAAACGCATCATTTAAAAAATACTAATATATAAATATATATAATCACCGGCCACTTTATTAGGTACACTTGTCCAACTGCTCATTAACGCAAATTTCTAATCAGCCAATCAAATGACAGTAGCTCAATGCATTTAGGCATGTAGACATGGTCAAGACGATCTGCTGCAGTTCAAACCAAGCATCAGAATGGGGAAGAAAGGTGATTTAAGGGACTTTGAACGTAGCATTATCATTGGTGCCAGACGGGCTGGTCTGTGTATTTCAGAAACTGCTGATCTACTGGGATTTTCACGCACAACCATCTCTAGGGTTTACAGAGAATGGTCCGAAAAAGAGAAAATATCCAGTGAGTGGCAGATAGGCTATAGCAGCAGAAAACCACAATGGGTGCCAGTCCTGTCATCTAAGAACAGGAAACTGAGGCTACAATTCACACAAGCTCAACAGAACTGGACAACTAAAGGTCGGTAAGACGTCGTCTGGTCTGATGAGTCTCGATTTCTGTCAACAACATGAAAGCATAGATCCATCCTGCCTTGTATCAATGGTTCACACTTTGGGCCCATTAGTACCAATTATGCATCATGTCAACGTCAAATGGCCTCAGCAGTCACCAGATCTCAATCCAAAACACCACCTTAGGGATGTGTAATGGGAGGTTCGCATCATGGATGTGCAGCCGACAAATCTGCAGCAACTGCATGATGCTGTCATGTCAATATGGATCACAATCTCTGAGGAATATTTCCAGCACCTTGTTGAATCTACGCCACGAAGGTTTAAGGCAGTTCTGAAGGCAAAATGGGATCCAATCCGGTACTAGTAAGGTGTACCTAATAAAGTGGCCGGTGAGTATGTGTGTGTGTGTGTATACTACAGGTATAAGTACATATTTAATAAGCTAAATAAGTACTATGTATCACTAATGAAAAATAAATATATTAAAATCTGTAATAACTAATATTGTTGAATAAGTATTTAACTTACAGCAACTGTTTCTATTTAAGTATATTGATGTCATTTACTTCTGTGGTACAAAGTGCAATGTCACTGAATTATTTAATTCACATTTTTACTTCTGTTGAAAATAGCTGTGCCACTCAATATGTGTCCTGATTTTTGTTTCATTTATTTGAAATAGGACTCTACTGTAAAATTATAAATAATAATAATAATAATAATAATAATGTCACATTTATGCAAATGAATACACACAAGCTCACTGGGAAAAAAGTCTAAAATCTTTGAGGGAAAAAAAGAGAAAAGAATAGAAGAAGTTAAGAATGTCCACCAACCCCATTGACTCCGGCCTGATGGTGGAGTGTGCAGAGTGTTTTTGGTGGAGCAGATGGGAGGTGGATCTGCAGAGAACAAAAGACAGGGGCTGAAGATAACTTCATATAAATGTCATTGAGCATGAACTAATGACTGACTGACCTTGATGGAGCGGTCGGATGAGCAGGTGTAGAGAGCGCCAGGGGTGTAGTGAACGCCGGTGACCAGTGAAGTGTGTGTTTTAAACTGCTGTACAGGCGTCAGGCAGCTGCTGCTCATGGAGAAGGTGTGCAGGAGTCCACGATTATCACCAGCCCAAACCTCTGATCCACTGAAGCTTACGGACAGCAGATACGAGCTCAACTGCAGGACAGACACACCGGACGTTACACACTACTGCTGCGGGTGCGATTTGTGAAATTATTAAACAGATCGACTCACTGTAGTCTACGTGAAATTGTGACCATTGTTTTTTTTGTTTTTTTTCATATTGTGACACAGTTCCTAGAGAAACTGAATCATATTCGAATACATTCATTCATTAATTTTCTTGGCTTTTAATTTGTTGATTTAGTAAATGCAGCAATGTTGTGCTTGTTAAGAATTTCAATGCATGTCAATGTGTAAAAACTGAGAACCAAATAAAATAAAAATATTCATTCATTCATTCACTTTCTTTACAGCGTAGTCCCTTTATTAATCTGGGGTCGCCACTGCGGAATGAACCGCCAAAATAAACTAAAAACATTGAATGAATAAATAAAAATGTTCTGTTCTGAAATGTAGAAGTTAAAATAATTAGGTGGAGTAGTAATGTAAGATACCTAGTAAGTATCCAGCACAGTGTGTTTGTAGTACCTGTACTTTCTGCAGGAGTTTTCCAGCCCTGCGGTCGAACAGAGCCACGCTTTGGTCTTTACTGCCTGATAGGATGAACTGGTCATCAGCCGCCAGACACAACACTGCATCACTATGAAGACGGAGACTCTTGACCAGAGGATTTGCGGCTGTGTGACAGTACATGAGATTTGTTGATGTGTTTAAACAGTTTCTTTTGCTCACTGAGGATGTTTATACTTGATTAAAAATTATAAATAACAGTGAAATTGTCAAATACTGTTGCAGTACAATTGAATGAAATGAATTAGTCCTGTGATGACAGCAACATGATGCGAAGCTGAATTTCCAGCATCTTCATTCTAGTTTTCAGTGTCATGATATGCTGATTTAACACTTTTATGCTGATTTATTGATCCAATAAGCTGATTTACAGTTGAAGTCAGAACTGTTCGCCACCCTTTTGATTTTTTTTCTTTTTTAAATATTTCCTAAGTGATGTTTAACAGAGAAGGACATTTTCACAGTATGTCTGATGATATTTTTTCTTCTGGAGAAAGTATTTTTTATTTCATTTCGGCTAGAATAAAAGCAAATTTGAATTTTTTAAACACCATTTTAGGGACAAAATTATTAGCCCCTTTAAGCTATTTTTTTCCGATAGTCTACAGCACAAACCATCGTTATACAATAACTTGCCTAATTACCCTAACCTGCCTAGTTAACCTAATTAACCTAGTTAAGCCTTTAAATGTCACTTTAAGCTGTATAGAAGTGTCTTGAAAAATATCTAGTCAAATATTATTTACTGTCATCATGGCAAAGATAAAATAAAACAATAATAGAGATGAGTTATTAAAACTATTGTGTTTAGAAATGTTAAAAAAATATCTTTGTTAAACAGAAATTGGGGAAAAAATAACAATAAAAGTTTTGTTTCTGCTTATTTTATATTTATTCTTTTACAGTTTTTATGGTACAGGAGTGGAAGGCATTTTAAACAGGAGCGGAATAGGCTTTGGTCTGGGAGTGGGACGGGACAAGATTTCTTTCTGTGGGAGTGGAACAGGATGGGAGTGAAAATTCCCTTCCGTGTCATCCTCTAGCTTACAATCCACAGTTTCTTCCATTATGGTTAATGGAGTTTTAACAGAATCCAGCACTGAACTAGGAAAGATTCTGGAAGTTCTCCTTTGTCAATTGCTAGAGCTATATAGTTATTATATTTCTCTGGAACATATTTAAAATTCAACTGTAAGCACTTCTGTCTTTGTGCCGTGTCCTTTGGAAGCCCAAATACAAAAACAGAAGAAGCTCTGTGGAAATAGAACCACTTGGACGCCATTTTAGCTTTCTCTGCTGTAACATTACAGTAACTCTGTGCAGGGTGTGTGCAGGAGGTGAATGCGTGTAACCGAAAGCCCTAGTGATCTCACTAGCCCGGATGTATTTTTTTGTAGTCCCTAACCTTTGTTCACTTTAGGCTTTGCTAAGCTAACTCTGTAAATGTCAAGGTCTCCCTTTGCATTGAGCTTTGAGCGTATTACATTCAGAGATGTTGTTTATGTTCACAAAGCTACATTACACATTAAAGTTTGATATCATAGAGGTACGCCCCTTTAAGATACCATCGCCACTATAGATGACCGAACCAGAAACCAGAAAAATTTCTAAAGAATTTGTGTGTGACAATATATTTCTTCATACTTCAATATATCTGTCTGTGTCTCACCTCGTGTGTCGTAGATGCTCAGCCTCTGGTCATGTGATCCGGCCAGCACCGTGTCCCGCTCGCAGGACAGACACAGCACTGCCGCTTTACACTGGATGAGTCCTCGCTCTGCTCCTCCGGCCTGCAGATCCCAGAGCTTTACCATGCTGTCGAACGATCCCGAGGCCAGAAGAGGTCCACTGGACGCCAGACACCACACCCATCCCCGATGGGTACTGATAGTGCCACGTCCCCCCAGAGTGTGCATTAACGCACCTCTCGGACCCTCATTCAGGTCCCACAGGTTTACATTCCGGTCCCTGGAGCCGGAGGCACACACAGCCCCAGCACCCCCCAGCAGGAGGACACAATTCACATCCGCGATGTGCCCTGAGGGGAGGACCATGTGCTCGAGCGGAGAAGAAGTGCTGGATGAGGCATTCTGGGATTGAATCTGTGCATTTAAATCAACATCCAGTTGCATTTGGACCATGTTAGCCTCCGCTGCCGGGGCTTCGCCATTTACGGCTTCAGCTGCCACTTCTTGTCTGTCTTCCACCATTTCCTGTTTCTCCGTCGGAGTCCCCTGTCCTTTCCAGTGGCCAATCAGCTCCTCCATTTCCAAGCAGGCTCTGGACCAATCAAAATCCTGCTTTGGTCCGACTGGGAAGGATGCTGCCGGGCCACAGAGTTTCTGAGTCCGAAGCTGCCAGGCCAAACGATCCTCGCCAACCTTTCCCAGCGTCTGGCACACCTGAGGATTACGAAACAGAGGGATACATTACAATGGGATGCCAACCATCGAGGACTTCGAGGACAACCTATACACTTAAAGGGCAAATATTTGACCCCTTTTCAAGTTTTAAGAAAAGTCTTTTCTGTCTCCAGAATGTGTCTGTAAAGTTTTAGCTCAAAACACCCATCAGATTATTTATTAGACCTTTCAGAATGCTGGAATTTTCTGCTCTGAACACTGTGTAGCTGTTTTTGTTGCCTGTGCCTTTAATACAAGCTCACCCCGCCCACCATTCCCACATACCTGTCAGAGTGTCTCAATCTCCACCTTGGCTGTGTCAGATAAACAGCACAGTGACAGACATAAAGGAAGCAGATCTCGAGTAACATTTGTGAGAAATACTACAGTAACAGCTTTCCCAATGATTATTTGATGTATTTGTTGTGGAGTTAATTCAAGCCTTTCTGCAATAATGGGTCACACACAATGCTGTTACAAAGTTAACGCACAAACACACATACAAAAACGCAGTGCACTGTTTTTTCACAGAAAATGTGACAGGATACACATTAATATCCACTGCTGTATGGATATCTGTTATGTTAATGTACAAAATAAACCTGACTTAACGGAATTGAAGCGTCTTCTTTTATTATTGTACTGACACGTGGCTGTGGTGATAAAGTACAAACGGTAAAATTAATTCATTAAATTTAAAAAGACAAGAATTACTATTATTACTATTAAGCTGCTTTCTCCGTTCGCCATGCTGGAGAGAAACAGTCTGCGCAAATGAAGCGCAGAGTTGGTGTCATTGACTACAGCTCTCCTCTGATTGGCTGAAAGGTACGAGTTACCCTGCCTCTGGCAGGAAAGTCTCAATAATACACACACACGTATCCAGGGGGAGTCGTACGTGAAAGAGGATTTGCACATTCTCATTCAGGATAAACTCGCAAGTTTTAAACATTCAAAACTTTTTGTACACTCTTATACATTTGCAAATGGTGTTTTGTATTTGTGAAACGTATTTTATGAAAATGTATTTTTATTTTGAGCACGTGAAAATTTTTTGTGAATATAAATAAATATTTTACGCACATGAATTTGATTTTATGCACGTGAATTTGGCTACGCATGTGTACATCGTGTCTTTTGCATGAATTTCTTTTGAGACTAAACTGATTCCATACACCACCACCATTCCCACGTGCATGTCTGCTTCTCATGCATTACATCAGATAAACAGCAGTCAGTGATAGAGACAGACACGGATGAAGCTGAAATACAGCTCATTAGTCAAAAATACCATGCCATGGTGATTATAGTGGTTAAGAATTACATGGCAGTTTTACTCTCTTTTTTACAAACATCCTCTGTTTTAAAGACTTTTTAACTTATAGAAAATCACAGAGTTGGAACATTTATTTTAATACCAGTTTATGTGAAAAAAAAAGTTTTGTGGACAAGTGTATTCTTATTGTAATAGAAACATGGCGCCTGTCAATCAAGTCGGTGGGTGGGCAAACCGCACTCCTACATCACATGCGATGGGCCTAAAATCACTTAGATTTGAGTCCTATTTTAAGGTCAGGACACCTAAAAAAGAGATTGTTGGGTTTCTAATCACTCCAATATGATTTGTGGACACACTATACCTACAGACAGTTCTGTCCATACAGCTTACAAAAGATAATTTTCATCATAGGTGCCCCTTTAATATTACTATGCATTACTATATATTAATATGCAAGAAATACATATTTTAAACAGTGTTTTGGTTTTGAATGTTTGTTTACTGAATATTTTTCTCAACGTTGTTGCTTTCTTTTACTTATAAACTTAAGTAATAATTACCTTTGGCAGCACATTGATGACACACTGCGCCGGGAGATGTGAGGCGATCTGAGTCACGATCTCCCATGGCAATGACAGGAGGTTCACTCCATTACTAGAAGGGGAGGGGCTTGTGTCTGTGGCGATGACGGACGGCTCACAATGCAAACTGTGGGGTGAAAGATCACAATACAAATGTCCACAGTCACGCTAAAAGTCTTGGAGTTATTTTTGATACTGAGTTAAAGCTTGACAAGGAAATATATTCGGTAACACTTTATTTTCATGGCCCATTTGAGTATTAGTAGACTGTCTCCTTAATTTGATACTTCTGCTAAACAGACATTTAACGGACTATAAGAAACTTTGCAAGTACATGTCAACTTACACTAACCCCAACCCTAACCCCAACCTAACAATCTACATATAATCTAATGAGAATTAGTTGGCATGTAAATGCAATGTAACTTATATTCAACAAACGGACCATCAAAATAAAGTGTGACCATCGTCAAAAGTGGTTTCTATCAATTAAGGAACATTGATAACTTGAAGCTTTTTCTGTCTTTTAAGGAGTTGGAAACCATCATTAACATTTTTGTTGGATTACTGCAACTCTTTGTATATAGGAGTTTCACAGGCTTCAATTGTATGCCTGAAGCTGGTTCAAAATGCAGCTGCCTGGCTTTTAACTGGGACAAAAACAAATTCTAATATCTCGGCGGTTTTATCATCCCTTCACTGGCTCACAGTCCAATTTAGGATTGAATACAAGTTATTGTTATTAGTTTTTAAAGGTTTAAATAGTCTGGCACCTACTTATCTTGGTGAGCTTCTTCACTGGCATACTTGAGGCCAGTTAGGTTGGAAAACCACTTTCAGCTAGTTGTTCCCAAATCACGATTAAAATCAAAAGAGGACTGTCGCAGCACCTCGTCTCTGGAATGGTCTGCCTTTAAATATCAGGTCATGCTCTTCCTTGGGTGCTTTCAAGTCTCATTAAAAAAAAAAATCACTGTCTGTCTCTTGCTTTTGATAGTAATTAATTTAAATTAAATTTGTTTTACATATTTGTATATACACACATAAAGATTTTGTATGTTGGTTGTTTTATAAAGCACTTTAGGCAACATCTGTTGATTTAAATGCGCTCTATAAATAAAGCAATCAAACAAACAAGCAAGGCACACGTCCAGCCAATGTTTACAATTTTGCCGAGCTCAAGAGGAGAACAAAAAAATAACAAACCTGTCAGGTAAACAGTCTGGAGGGTCACTGACAGCAGAGCGTCTCTCCTTCTGCTCATCCTCCAGGGCCACGTTCAGCTGCGACATTAACTGAACCACAGGGAGATCAATAGATGCTGGCATCACCTACAGCAATTATATTACCCTTACAAAGTCTACCATGATAGGCTTTTAATTATTTAGAAAACAATCGAAATAGCTTGTATTCAGTCTACTATGTTGTGGGACTGTCTGTTATTGTGTGATTTAAACAGGGGGATACAGTAACACATAAAACAGAAGAATGTGCTCAAATGGACTCCACAGTCACCAGATCTCAATCCAATATAGCACCTTTGGGATGTGGTGGAAAAGGAGATTCACATCAGGCTGACAAATCTGCAGCAGCTGTGTGATGCTATCATGCCAATATGGACAAAAATCTCTGAGGAATAATTTCAGTACTTCATATTTAAGAGTTTTATCAATCTGGCCATATACAGTGCATCAGAACAAGTAGACATTTAATGATGTACATTTTCATTGTATATTATACTACATGACTTCTCAAACAGAAAGGAAGACATAAACAGGACTGTTTTTAGTTTTATGTGTCAAGCATCACAAGACTAAACTAAATTATCTGTCCACAAATGCAAAACTGTTTACTGCCATAAAACATCTGGTATTTTGCTGTCAACCAACATGGCGATGTGTTGAGGTAAAGTCGGTTTTATAGTCACACATTCTGACTTTATCCTTAATAATATCATTTTAGAAAAGTGTTATTTCGAAATCCTAAATAGGGGAAATCATATTAGCAACCAATGACTATCAAAGTACAACATTGTTCAGTCAAATAAACAGTGCTAATGTTATTTTCAAGGCATACTTGCATGAGATTTCAGACCGAATAATCAAAGTATCACGGTAAACAATAGAGAAAGCGTATCACAAGCTGTCACTTAGTGAATGTGCGAATAAAACCAAATTTACCTCAATTGGCAACGTAATGTTTTTGGAAATTAACCTATCTGCTACTTAAACGAGAGGAGTCTGGACCTGGTGCAGTGCAATCTGAGCTGCATCAAATGCTTTTTAATGCACTCACCTAACCCGACCCCTAACCCTACCCATCTCAGTGATGCGATCTCTGCTTGCATAATAAAGGCTGCATCCAGACACTATTACTAAACGTTAAGGTGTGTGTTTACTATACACTAAAACTCCAAACATGATATATGACAGAAAGCAGACATTTCAAGCAGAACGTAAATAAATAGATGGCAGTTATCTAACGTTAAATCTTAAAGGCTCTAATTATTTAAAAAATATATATATATTTAACCGCAACAGAAATGGATAATATAAATGTATTTGCTTAAAACATACCTTAGTTTAAAGAAACTTCCTGGAAATCAGAAACAGCTCGAATAGATAAACGATCCACATTTCTCATTCGTCGGGTTTTTGTCATGTATTGTTGATTATTTTGAAATGACGCTGCACAATCAGCTGTTTATTAACGTTAAGTTATCTGTTTTCCTTCACGAAGATGTTGATTTGAGATAAAAGCGAACATTTATGAAATAATAATAAAAAAGAAAACACACAATGAAGCGGATGTTCGCTTATTACCAGATAATATAACTGACTATTCACGTTAATATTCACGTTAATATTGCTATAATCTGTGTGACTTGCAGCAACTGACAGATGTCAACACCGCACCGTACTTCTCCGGCGCATATTATTTACGTCATCGGTGTTTCCGCTTCGCGCGTCTTGTTTCATGTAGCTGTCATATATTTTACAGTCTAATCAGGTCTTAAAATGAATATGAATAAATCTGTGTTATTTCCAATTAAAACATGCAATTTGACAGAATTACATAGTATCCCTATTAAACATACAGTTACGGGTTGTCATTCCTAAAGAAGAAAATGAACGCAATAAGCTTAATTTTCAACTCATAATGAATAAAACTAAGACTAGATTTAATATCTGGCTTCAAAGAGATTCATCCCTAAATTGTAGGGTTTTACTGTCCAAAGCAAAAGGGAGATCAAGATCTGTCTATGTGTCTTTAGCTCTAGAGATGCCATCAAATGTATAAAAAGAATTAGACAAAATACTATTTAATTTTTTATGGAGAAATAGACATCACTATTTAAGAAAGGAAATTAAGTGTAAACAAAAATGCAAAGGTGGGTTATCTGTGTTACGTTTTGAAACTTTAAACAATACATTCAAAATGAATAGGTTACTTCATGAAAGAAAAGGACAGTATGTGGTATTCTTTTCCAAAACACATATTTGACATGATAGGGGGTATAGAATTTCTGTTGAGTTGTGATTTTAAAATTGACAAACTTCCAGTGAAATTAGCTAAATTTCACTAACAAGCTTTATTGGCCTGGATGCTGGTATTTAAGCACAATTTTTCCCCAAACAAGTATATTATATGGAATAATAGATGTATTCAATATAAAAATAAATATCTCTGCTTCCAAAAATGGTATGAAAATGATATTGTATTAGTTAGACAACTTCTACATTTAAACGGTATTTATTATCTTACAGTTAATTTTTAGATAAATTTGATTTTCCAGATACTCCAAAAGAGTATCTTGATGCCATATATCTCAACAGCTTCTTCATTTTATCGGAGCATATGGAAATAAATCTTAAGGAGGAAAATATGTTAAAGAAAACCTTTTTTTAGGAGATATGATATTATTAAACAAAGTTATACTAATAAATATATTAGAAATATTGTAAAAGGTGATACAGTTGTATATAATAATTTAAAATGGACCAATGTATTCATACATATAAATTGGAAAAAAGCTTGCCGTTTTTTATGAAATATGTTGTATAAATAACAAAGTAGAAGAAGTTACATTTAAAATTTTACATAGTATATATCCAGTTAAAGAGGTTTTAGAGAAATTTAATTTGGATCTTGATTATTCCTCTGATTTTTGTTGCATGGAAAAGGAATCTATTGTCCACATGTTTTGTGATTGGATATACACAAGGATTTTCTGGGTGGATGTGGAACATTTTCTAAGAAGGAAAACAAAAATTGTATTCAAGTTAAAAAAAAATGATATTTGCATTTATTGTGTAAGTACATGTAAAAAAAATTACCTTTCTAGTACAACTTTTTATTATTTTGGGAAAGTTTCATAAAAAATGGACTGGATCAAGACAAATTTTGTTCATTTTCTTCAAGAGACTAAGGACTACTGTACAAGTTTGGAGAACATTGTTAATAACAAAGCAAAGAATTGTAATATTCTTAAGGAATATAAAATTTTTCAATTAATGAATGTTTATATATATATATATATGTACATGCATACAAACACACACGTGTATATGTGTGTATATATATCTATGGTTTCATGTGGCGCAAACTCCCTTCTCAAACTCTCCTTCAGTGTTTTGTTTTTCATTAAACTGATTTTCTTTGTAAATTCTATATTAACAAATGGAAATTTATCAATACTAATCCATACTTTCCTGTTTTATTTTTTTTTTAAAAAGACTCTAGTCATGTTTTTAATACACTTTCATTATCTGAAAATTAGAAAGCAAGTAGGATTTGTCATTTTATAATTACTTTAATTTATATTTGATACTTAAACTTTAAGTTCATGTTCATGACCCTTATTTTTTTCTTTCTTACTCTCTCTTTGTACCTTTTTTGCATTGACAATGTATGTAATTTATATTTTGTGTATTGTATACATATAATGTTCACATGTCAACTCTGCATTCTTTCATTCATTCGTTTTCTTTTCAGCTTAGTCCCTTCATTAATCAGGGGTTGCCCCAGCGGAATGAACCGCCAACTTATCCAGCATATGTTTTACGCAGCAAATGCCCTTCCAGCTGCAACCCATCACTGGGAAACATCCATACACACTCAATCACAGACATACACATGGCCAATTTAGCTTACCCAATATGGCGCATGTGTTTGGACTGGGAAACCCATGAGCATGGATCCATCCTGCCTTGTAACAATAGTTCAGGGTGCTGATGGTGTAATGGTGTGCACTGAAAATGTCCTTAAGCTGGGATTTGAACTCGGGACGCCCTGAAGTATTACTGCTCCATATGTCAGTGTGCTAACCACTAGGATATTGCACCGACCAGTTAGCATTTCTGTGTGGAGTTTGCATGTTCTCCCTGTGTTCGTGTGGGTTTCATCCGGGTGCTCCAGTTTCGCCCACAGTCCAAAGGTTGCAGCTGGAAGAGCATCCTCTACGTAAAACATATGCTGGATAAGTTGGCAGTTCATTCCGCTGTGGTGACCCTATAGATTTAAAAAGGGACCAAGCCGAAAAGAAAATGAATCAATGAAATTCAAGTCAAATAAATTGTTTGCAACAATTTTGCAGAAATCATTTTTTTCAGTGTGGGGGATAATTTCTTGGCACACTTTGGGCTCATTAGTACCAATTGAGCATCATGTCAACACCACAACCTACCTGAGTATTGTTGCTGACCATGTGTATCTCTTTATGACCACAGCATCTTCTGAAGGCTACTTCCAGCAGGACAACACGCCATGTTATAAAGTGGGTCGCGGGAACAATTTCAGTGGGTCATGGAGTGTGTGAAACAACAACAAAAGTTGAACTTATTTTGACTTATTTTGAAATGCGTGCACGACAACCGTACCGTTTGACATATGAAATTTCATTTAATTATAGCAACAAATAAGTCAAAGACTGACTTATTTATATTTACAGCAAAAAAGACTTAAAGCCTCAGTGTGTCATAACCCACATAGCAAAATTTCTCTGGCCCAGCTCTGGCCCACACAATCAGGTTTTGCTTGGCCCACATGCCGCAGTGAATTACGGTACATGTCTGGACCAAATCTGGCTTCCAGACAAGAACCAGCCACGGACCATATCTGGGCCAAGTCTCAGCCAAGTTAATAACTCATAACTGGGCCTGAACTGGGCCAGATAGGTTGGTGTGTCACGATTGCAATGAAATTGATAAACCCATGGAGTGACGCGCTTTAGGCACACTATGGGCACGCTTTTTCTCAAAGTGACCTGATTGGTAGATTTTTTTTTTCTTTACTCAAAAATTATTTTAGTGTATTTTAAATGTGGGTCAAGACTGGCCAAACTCACATGGCCCACTTATCAAATTTTTAAATCTGGGCCAAATACTACGTTTTTCATCTGGCCCAAATCTTGTGTGCCGCCTTAAAAACAGTGCTACCTCTGCCAAACCCGGGCCATGTTTTTCCCACATGTATATCAGTGCCGGATGAATGCCTGCTGTGCCAGCTTTTTGCCAAATCTGGGCCAGAATTCTTTGCTACTAGGGAAGTAGTGAGGTGCTCTCACAAGAGAGCACGAAACCTAATAAATTAAAACGACATTTAGAAACCAGACAACATATTTTATTAACTGTTTAGTTCACGGAAACTGAACCTTTCCTTACCCTAACACTGTTTACAATATTTATCGCTTTTACTCTGTAATTTAATGCATTTTGTTAAATGACAGCAATAAAATATTGTTTATTTGTTAGTCTTGGTGATTTTCTTATGATTTATCTGTCACTACATACTAACTGTATGTTAACAAATAAAGACAAATTAATTATAATTCCTAAAATTATATTATAGTTCCTAAAAATTTGGGTCTTGGCTTGATGACCATGTAAAAATGTGGGTTCCATGGCCAAACCAGTTGTGAACCCCTGCTCTAAGGAATATTTCCAGTTCCTTGTTGAATCTACGCCATGATGGATTAAAGCAGTTTTGAAGTCAAAAGAGGGTCCAACCCGGTACTGGTAAGGTGTACCTAACAAAGTGGCCGCTCAGTGTACGTATGACTATTTGGGTCATTAAATAAATGTAATAAGAGCATTAAGATAGTGCTTTGTATATAAAAATAACAAAAAATAGGAAAAGTCATTTTCTAAGGTGTGTGCGTGTTTAAGTAGGCGTGAGGCGACTCTGTGTATACACAAAGACAGCAAGTCAAAGTCCATCACATTTACTCTGTCTGAAAAAAGGGACACAAACCTCTCATTCATGACAGCATCTGTTTGCTTTTCTGCTGCACTGTTCTGATTCACTTCCACATGCTGAAAAAGACAATAATTAACAGTGAAAGTCTTTAGCCTGATTTTCAACTCAAACATTCAGTACATTATCCACTGTTTTTATTCTCAAAATATAATATTATGACCCAAATAAAATAATGGGATAAAGATTGATCAACAATGCTGTCATTCAGCGGATGTGAAGGCACTGATTATCGACCAATATACAATGTAATCCCAGCATGCATGAAATGTAGCTCAAAAGTTAATATATATAAACAGTATTTATTGTTGCAGAACAATAACAATCAACAAAATGAGGAAAAACATCAACATAAACATTTCTTTCATGCAATAAAATGCAGCTCGGTGTTAAATATATATATATATATATATATATATATATATATATATATATATATATATATATATATAAATATATATATATATATATATGTCTTCTCGTGATGAAGAGTAGGCAAACAGCATACAACACCAGGTGGAAAATAACTGTTTATAGAATATAATCACTATTTAGATGCTGTTTCACATATGAAATAGTCTAATGGTAAACATTATTAAATACCCAAGAGGCACTTGTGACTTAATATCACATTTGCATTATTTAAAAAAAATGTTTCTTTCCTATTAAAAATAAATATATTTCATATCTGATATGTAAGTGGGAGCAAAAAAGTAGCATGAGTTCAGCAGATGGTGGATTCGAACGAACAAAAGATAATGCTGTGCGCTTTACAAGGTACGCCAGACTCCCTGTAATCCTGCTTTGCTCTTTACTCATGTTGTCTCTGTCAATCAGGCATTGATGGGCGTAAACCGTGAATAGCTTATTCCAACTAGGTGCGCTATTTGCACTGAGCCTAAAAAGACACTCCGAAATTGGCTTTTTTTCCTCCTCTCGCAGGGGCTCCAAGTGCGCACGGGACCCTGGGCCTGTGCCGATAGGGCCCATTGGTTAATCCAGCCCTGGCGATGTGGCTGTATAGCGGCACTTGTGGGAAGTGTGAGTTGCCTTAGTGTCCCACGAATAACGATATACAGCTATATTGCACTGCTACGAGTGTATTATTGCGTTTATACAACAGTTCGATGGCAAAATAGTGGATATAAAAAATAAAATCAAACATGGAGAGTCTAAAAAAAACTTTTGTATTAGGAACTACTTTCTTCCACCATTCATTCCCATCTGGAGCTGACGTTCAAACAGCAGAAGCCATTACTAATTCACCAACGTCACTTTAGAACTAGTGTTTGAATGATTGTCTATAGCGTAATGTCTAAAGCAGAGGTTTTCAAAGTGTGAGGCGCGCCTCCCCTGGGGGGCGCCAGAGTATGTCAGGGGAGGCGCGGGAAGAAATATTATATAATAAAGATATAAATATTAAGTTGAATTATTATATGTATTTTTTATTATATTTAAACATTTTAATTAAACAAAGCTAAAAAAATAATACGCCAAAAATAAGAAAACCTTTTTTACCCAGAAGGCCATAGCTGTGAATTCGTTTCTGTTTGACAAGCTCGCAATACAGGTATATGCCTGCTAATACAATGGATCGGTTTCTGAGACCCCCCCGATTCAAAGCCTTCAAGTTCAGGGCTTAAACCCAAAAGACGACGATATGATGATCAGTATTTGAGTTAAGGATTTACGTGGACAGGACCAGCTGATGAACCACGACCTTTATGTGTGGTTTGTCAACATATTTTGGCTAAAGACAACATGAGACCCGCTAAACTTCGACTGTTTTGACTGGGATGGACAGTTCTTGGATCTGTTCTATTCATATTGAACAATCATATTAGTTTTAAAAACGTTACATTAAAATACTTGTTATTACTCTGTAAATAATTGCACTTTCATGCAAATGATGATAAAAGTGAGTTAACAGTCTGACATCTGTCTGTGTCTTTATATATACTGTATATATATATATATGTGTGTGTGTGTGTGTGTGTGTGTGTGTGTGTGTGTGTGTGTGTGTGTGTGTGCGTGTTTGGGAGGAGGGGGGCGCCAATAGATAAGTTGTGTCAAAAGGGAGGCCCACTGTCTTAGACTTTGAAAAACCCTGGTCTAAAGTGATGACAAAACAGCTGATTTTGCTCACACTTTAAGATTATAAGGCTAAACAGCATGAAATGCCATCAGTCTACAGAGATTTCCCATTATTTCTCTGTTGCAATCGGGATATCCCAAAAATTAACCCTGAAAAAGCCAAAGCAAAGCAAACACTTGCGGATTACTATGGCATAAATCCAGACATACAAAAGAGAGAGATCGACTTAGAAAGTCGCTTGCCTGTTTTATAATAATTTGATCAGCTGTAGTTTGAAATGAACAAACTATGCAAGACAATGAGTGAGTTTGTTGATCTACTGTCACTCTATGTGAGTGGAGTAATACGCAAGGGTGAAGAGGCTGTACAAGTGCTGTTATTGCAGAATATCACACAATCAGATTTAAGAACAAGACAGAACTATTGGCTGTATGTATGCGTGTGTGTGTGTGTGTGTGTGTATATATATATATATATATATATATATATATATATATATATATATATATTGTATTTATACTGTATATGTCCCTTCACCCTTGTGTATTAATCAGCCCACATACAGCAACTAGCAGAGGACACACTCTACAGTTTGACAAATACTGCTGCTGTTGGGCAACATAATGTACTTTTGAGGCTTTTTTAGTTGAGAATGTAGTTGTTTAGATTGCTACTATGCAGTTTATTTATAAGGATAGTGCCTATTTTAAATATTCATGTTTTGAGAAACAGAGCGTCGGCGGCCATTAGCTTGTCATACTGAGCAAAGACAGTTGACGTTGTCCATCCACAAGATGGTGACAGACTGCATAACAAGCCCTTAGAGGTGGAAAAATACAGCGTAATTTTTAAGCTACGGCTGTTAAAATCTTTATTAAACTGGTAAGTGATATTCTAAGTCAATCTCTCTCTTTTTTATGTTGTAGTGCTGTATTTATACCATATAATTGCAGCGTACTGAGTGTGAGATGTGACTCCCATTTCAAAAATGTGTGTCGTGTTGGCAGAAAGAAAGAAGAAATGCCCGCATGTGTTTAGCGTTGGTAGTGATCTAGTAGTGACTCGTAGTGACTGCGCTGCTTTTTTCAGGGTTAATTAGTTATTGTGATATCCCGATTGTAACAGAGAAATACTGTTGACTGTAATAGACTGTAATACTGTAGGGAGATATCTCTGTAGATGGATGGCTTTTCATGCCGTTCAACCTTATAATCTTAAAATGAAAGCAAAATCACATATTTTCTCATCACTTTAGACTTTAAACACTAGCTATAAAGTGACATTGGTGAATTAGTTACGGTTTCTGCTTTTCTGACTTTCAGCAGCAGATGTGAATGAACGGCAAAAGAAATTTAGTTCCTAATAAAAAAGGGTTTTTAGACTCTCCGTGTTTGATTTTCTTATTTATATACATGATTGTGCCGTAGAGCTGTTGTATAAATGCAATATCACACTCGTAAGAGTGCAATATGGCTGTATATCAGCACTGGTGGGACTAAGGCACTCAGCCTGCGGCCTTAAGCCAACGCACACCTCCCACCAGTGTCAATATACAGCTACATCGAACTGCTACCTGTGTAATATAGCTCATATACACACACACACACACACACACACACACACACACACACACACACACACACACATACACACAAATCAGCATCAGAAGGCATTTATTTCTGTATTTGTCCATCTTTAAATAGCCTAGATTCATCCACGAGGACTCTTGTAATTTAAAGACTACAATAAATCAAACGCATAATAGTCCTGCTTATGGCCTCATTAAGCGGTGACGTGTCAGGATACACCCCGTTTATTATCTAAACTTGAACTTCAACACGGAGCGGACACTCACAAACCAGCACTAAATCTGTAGATAAGACAATGAGTAATCAGAGGATGGTCGAATTTATGAGGACGCCCTTTCCTGACGCTCTAGGTGAGGTTAGTTTAGTGTGCCAAGACCATCACAGAGGGAGGAGAAGCTTTGGTAGGTACACTGCTAAAAACGATTGTAGTTTTTAGTTTCTAGTGATTGTAGTTTTCTCGCCATGACTTTTTAAGTTGCAACGACTTGCAGTTTCTGAATTTGTTCATTCAACTTAACATGGTAAGTTTTTGTCATTTCGAGGACACTCAAAAATTAAGTTTGTTACTTCAACTTAATTGTTTTATGTCTGATCTACTTAAATTTGCAAGCAATAAAGCAATTAAGTTAACTTAATCGATTTGAGTTGGGACAACATGAAGGAATTATGTGAAACAGCATTTTTACAGTGTACATATAATTTTGATAAATAATATTTATTGCATTAATTTTATATGTGTTGCATGGTGATGTTTAGTATTTGTGCGAACAACATGGAGTATATTATATTTACTTATTATTATATAGTTGTTTTTTTTTTTGCTTGTGGTGAGCATTGGTAAATACTGTATATTACTTTCTCATCCTTTTCTCTTATGGTGGATGTTTATAATGTGTCAACGCTATTACTTCAAAACATTGGTGTTAATTGTTTAGTGTCAATATTTAATTAATGAAATATAGAAATTTACCTTAATTGTTTTAAAACTTTGGTTTCTATTTTATTTATAATTGTAAAATTCTGGCAACTTTTTTCATGAATTTAATGGATTTCACTGAACCTAAATGTTAGTAAAGATAACTTGAAAATGTAAGCAAACTGAATTCAACTAAACTTTACAAGTTCTGCCTACCTGAGAACTTTAGTTACTCTATTAAACTTTTGCAAGTCAAGGTTAGTTGAAATAATAGTCAACTATTTAACATGATCAACTAAACATTTTAAGTTGGAAATTAATTGTTGAAAATCTCCATGTGTCTAACATGTTCATTATCCTGATTTATTGAATGTTAGCAGATGTCTAACATATTAATAATCCTGATATATTAAATTATTGAATATCAGCATATGCCTAGCGTGTTCGTTATCCTGATATATTGAATTATTAAATATCGGCATATGTCTAACATGTATATTATCCTGATATATTGACTTATTAAATATCGGGATATGTCTAGCATGTTTGTTATCCCAATATATTTAATATCGGCATATGTCTAACATGTTCTTTATCCTGATATATTGAATTAATAAATATCGGCATATGTCTAACATGTAAATTATCCTGATTTACTGAATTATTAAATTTTGGCATATGTCTAGCATGTTTGTTATCCTGATATATTGAATTAGTAAATGTCGGCATATGGCTATCATGTTCATTATCCTGATTGTTGAATTATTGAATATCGGCATATGTCTAGCATGTTTGTTATCCCGATATATTGAATATCAGCATATGTCTAACATGTGCATTATCCTGATATATTGACTTATTAAATATCGGGATATGTCTAGCATGTTTGTTATCCCAATATATTTAATATCGGCATATGTCTAGCATGTTTGTTATTCCGATATATTGAATATCAGCATATGTCTAACATGTGCATTATCCTGATATATTGACTTATTGAATATCGGGATATGTCTAGCATGTTTGTTATCCCGATATATTGAATATCGGCATATGTCTAGCATGTTTGTTATTCCGATATATTGAATATCAGCATATGTCTAACATGTGCATTATCCTGATATATTGACTTTTTGAATATCAGCATATGTCTATCATGTTTGTTATCCAAATATATTGAATATCGGCATATGTCTAGCATGTTTGTTATCCCGATATATTGATTATCGGCATATGTCTAACTTGTTCATTATCCCAATATATTGAACTATTGAATATCGGTATATGTCTAACATGTTCGTTATCCCGATATATTAAATTTTTGAATATCAGCATATGTCTAGCATGTCCATTATCCCCGAGTTATTGAATATCGGTATATGTCTAAGGAAAACTACTTAATTGGACTATTTTTTCCTACAGTGCATGAGAGTGTGAAGACATTAGCAACATCCATATCTGAAAAAAAAAACAATCATGGTAACCTTGAACACTCAGTCCGTGACGACCCCGGTGGGCATAATCCGTCTGTTTGAGTTCGTCCTGACACTCATCACCTTCAGCCTGGTGGCGTCTCAGGGTCACACCTCTTTACCACTCTGGGCCTGGTGCATGTTCACCTGGTGCTTCTGCTGCTTCGTTACCCTCCTCATCCTCATCCTGGAGTTCACCAGCGTCAACACCAAAATCCCCATTTCCTGGGACGATTTCACTACAGCTTTTGCAATGCTATCCACGCTCATGGTGCTGGCCGCTTCAGTCATCTACCCAGCATATTTTGTGTGCTCCAACTGTTGGATTGGGATTGCAGCATCTGTGCTCTCGTGTGTGTGTTTTTGTTTGTACGCAGCAGAAGTGGGTCTAACCCGAGCCAAACCCGGTGAAATCAGTGGGTTTTTGGCCACAGTTCCAGGCTTGTTAAAAGTCTTGGAGACGTTCGTGGCTTGTATAATCTTCATATGTCTGAATTCAAGCGTTTACAAGAACTTTCCTGGGCTGCAATGGTGTGTGGCGGTTTACTCCGTCTGCTTCATCATCTCTCTTCTCATCATAATCCTGACAATTGGACGCTTGCTGGGTCGAATCCCACTGCCGATGGACAAATGCATGACAGGATACAATGTCCTCGCGGTTTTAATGTACCTCACAGCTACGATCATTTGGCCCCTCTACTGTTTTGACAACTTTAAGAATAGACCACCAGAGTGTGATTTGCCCTTCATTGTATATTGTTTCTGGGACAACCTGGTGGTGGTGTCCTGCATGACGTGTATTAATCTGATCGCCTACATTGTGGATACGGTTTACTCTGTGCGTTTGGTTTTGATCACTTCTCCTGCCTAGGAAAAACATGGGCTTCTTACATCAATTACTTGTCTGTTTAAGGGATAGTTCACCCAAAATTTAACATTTAGTCACTATTTAGTCTCCCTCAAGTGGTTGCAATCCTTTATAAACCTTTACATATTTATAAGAAAGGTAAAATCATGTCATAGTTGACTAGGAAAAACTCATATTGTGGATATCACTGGATACAGGTTTCATGCATTCCATAAAATATCTTCTTTTGTGTTCAGATGAAGAAAGAAACTCAATCAGGTTTGCAACAAGTGAAGGAGAAGGAAATGATGACAGAATTTTCCTATTTGGGTGAACTATCCCTTCAGCCTGGATTAGATGTTCACTTGCTATTTTTGATCATGCTGATCGTCTTTTCGTGTTGATAGATTATGCAAGAAACTAATTGGCAGCTTTGTTGTTAACATGCTCAGAGGAATGTTGACCTTATATGAAGATGATAAGAAATGCCATCATTATAGTGCCTTTTATCAGTATAATGTGACTGATGTGTAACTAGCGAGCTTGCGAAATATACCCTTTTTATACAATCATGCAAATGTTAAATGTCTAATCATTAAACATGAATTATAGCGTTTCAGTATCGATATTGCAATGTGATCATTTCTGTGACAGACGATTGCTTTTAAAAGCATTAAGGCACAAGACATTGTACCGTGAGTAACTTTAAAAATTGAATAATTGCATTAAATTAATTGTATTTTAATAATTCAATCATTGTATCAGAATACTGTTAGACACAGAAAACGATAACAGACTGTTTGTTATATCAAAACAGAAATCAATTTTTTTCCTATAATATTTTTTTAGTTTATCTGGAATAAAATCAATTTTCAGTTTTTTTTTTTTTTTTTTTTTTTTTGTTAATAATTTGTAAACTCATTAACTCATATTATTAGCCATCTAAAAAAAGTTACTTTTTTCAATTGGCTAAAAAACAAACCACTGTTGTCCAATCACTTGCCTAATTAACATAACTTCACATAATTAACCTAGTTAAGCATTTAAATAGCACTTTAGGCTGCATACTATAGTCTTACAAAATGACTAGTAAACTATATGCGCTGTCACAATAGAAGACAAAATAAAGACACAATAAAGTCAAAATAAATCGGTCATTAGAAATGTATTGAAAAAATCTACCCTCCGTTAAACAGAAATTGGGAAATTTTTGGGTGAATAATTTGAACTATACAAATACTAAACAAGTAGTTGTAATGTAGAGAAATTTTTGAGGCTCACATGAATGTTAAACTTATGATGATAAGAAATGCCATCATTATATTGCCTTTTATCAGTAATATGACTGATGTGCAACTAAAAGTGAGCTTACGAAATTTTTATCATTTTTATCATTTTTATACAGTGACGCAAATGTTAAATGTTTAATCATTACACATGAATATACACACACACACACACACACACACACACACACACACACACATATATATGTGTGTGTGTGTGTGTGTGTGTGTGTGTGTGTGTGTGTGCATGTGTGTGTGTGTGTGT